CATAACTATAGAGATAGCTCAGGATAACCTGAGCCACCCTAGCTTTATCAAAAAGGAAAGTTTTAAGCCTAGCCTTAAAAGTAGACAGGGTGTCTGCCTCACGGACTAAAACTGGCAGTTGGTTCCACAGGAGAGGAGCCTGATAACTAAAACCTGCCTCCTATTCTGCCTTTAGAAACTCTAGGAACCACTGCTAAACCTGCAGATTGAGAGCGAAGTGCTCTGTTAGGAACATAAGGAACAATCAGATCTCTGATATAAGACGGAGCTTGGCCATTTAAGGCTTTATATGTTAGAAGGAGAATTTTAAATTATTTTCTTGATTTAACAGGAAGCCAATGAAGAGAAGCTAAGATGGGAGAGATACAGTATGATCTCTCTTTTTAATTTTCATCAGAACTCTGGCTGCAGCTTTTTGGATCAGATGAAGTCATTTAACTAGAGTTTGTGGACTTTCTGATAGTAAAGAATTACAATTGTCCAGCCTTGAAGTAAAAAATGCATGGCCTAGTTTCTCTGCATAAATCCTGGACAGGATATTTCTAATTTTTGCAATATTCCGCAGATGAAAGAAGAAAATTCTAGAAATAACAGGTCCTGATCAAAAATAACACCAAGTTTTTTTTTTTTACTTTATCATCTGAAATCAATTTAATCCCAACCAAATGAAGTGAGAAATGTGTTCTAATATTTTATTTTTTCCATCACTCGAATAAGATCATTCACTGTAATTATTTACTACGTGGAAAACTGCAGACCCTGTAGCAGCTATCAATGCTGATAGAAAAGTATTTTTTTTTTCCACAGAAAATTTCACACCGAGCAAAAATTGTTTGAAAAGACATTGAAACACAACATGATTTACATCAAATCGACGTCTACATTTGGTTGAAAAGTGTTTGCTTTTAAGTCTTACAGACAAAAACCTGTATCATTTTTTTTTTTTATCAAACCTCCACAATTTCTGCAGAACCCATATTCTTGTATGCTTGTGAAAAAGAGAAGCAATATTAAGTATAATAAGACTGCATTGGGGCCTTGGCGAGGTGGGGCACCTCCATAGAAAGCAACGTAAACTGAGCCTGCGCAAAAATAATGAGATGCTAATAAGATGGTAATCTCCCCATCGTATTCTTCCATAGTGGTTAGGGGAATCTGAAGAGTTTTTCACTACTGGTTAGAGATCCAGGCATGTCCTGAAGTCAAAGTTCAATATACAGAAAAAGGAAAACTCCAAACATATGTTTATTATAGATCTCTGTTCTTGTAGGATCCCAAAGGAAACAATCTACAGCAGACGGCCCTTCTGAGGAGAGAAAGGATGACCAGTCCCTCACCTTCAATGACCCACTGTGGCCCATGCAGTGGGAATTGGTGGGTGTGGTTCATCTCTGTGTCTGTCTGCTGTTGTTTTTCCCTATCTGGAAGTCTCCTCTCTCTTCTTGTCTTGGCGTTGAAGGATGTGCCTGGTAAAGGCATAAGTCAGACGAGCTTTCATGTGTGACCGGAGAAGTAGACAGAAGATATAGAAATAAGGAGATTGTGATGGAGGACAGAGAGTTTGTGAAGGGGGTTTTCCATGTACTGAGACAGATGGGTAAGATTGATGAGGCTTGGAGAAACACCGACACACAACCGGGCAGAAGCAGGACAGGCATATGCCTTCAACTGCCTTCTTCACCCTGTTTGGCCAAACTGTGCGTCTGAGGCACTGCAATTATATAGGAAAGTATATTTATACAGAATAGAGGAACTTTATTTTGACTTAAACACTTACAGTACACCCCAAATGTTATACAATTCAATAAATATCTACTTTTGTAGATCTATCTATCTTAACCACTGGTACAATTAAAGATCAGTAGAAGTCATGGGAAAACATGTTCTACAAACTATTGTTACTTTAAAAAGGTTTGTATAATAAAAACAACGGTCTTTCTTTGTGGGCAATACTTTTTTACACATTAGTGTCTTAGTAAAGATGTTGGGCTCACTGGATTGTGTGCTGAGCTGCGCTAGGGTTCTTTCTTACCTTTTCCTCCTTAGACTCCAGTCCTGACGAGCCTCCAGCTGGTTCCAATTGGACGCAATCAGGGAGCAGTATTTAGAGGAGTGGATTCCCTGGGACGGACGCCAGTCGGTTAAAGTTCCACACAGTGGTAACCTACCTGCTAGCTCTCCTAAGACTGAACCAGATAGTTCTGACTTAAGCTTACCTCCGTGTCCTCCTTCTCTCTCCTAGAAGCCTCGCTGTTTCCAAGCCGGTCCTCCTCTCAGCCCTCCTGGATCCTCCCCTCGACTGCTCGCCTGCCTGTCCA